ATATAAGTGATTGTAGAAAATGAAAATGAAAATGAAATAAAAATATCCAGTCAGAAAAAAAAAAAAAAAGATTTCAGATATGACTTTGTGGCCACATTCAGGTGAATCCCCGTGGCAACTACATGAAAGTGGTTTAACACTACACCCTCACCACTACCACTACTGTGAAGCTTTTCCAACATCCCAGTCTAGTCAACAATCATAATAGCCCCCCACCCAAACAGGGGCCTGGCTTTACCCTGCTTAATTTTTTTAAGATCACCCAAGATCCACTGGACGGTGACACCTAGCTGGGTATAATTAAGGTAATTTAAGATTAATTTAAATAAGCTTCATATCTGTTTGTTATGATTTCAACAAGTCCATCATTGAGCCTTGGTGGCACAGTGGTAAGAGTGCAGTACTGCAGGCTACTTCTGCTGCCTGCAATTTGGTGGTTCGAATCTCACCAGACTCAAGGTTGACCCTGTCTTCCATCCTTCCGAGGTGGGTCAAATGAGGACCCAGATTGTTGGGGGCAAGAGGCTGACTCAGTAAACCGCTTAGAGAGAGCTGTGAAGCGGTATATACTGTGTTTTTCTGAAAATAAGACAGGCTCTTATTTTCTTTTGACCCCCAAAATAAGTACTTGGCCTTATTTTTAGGGAGGTTTTATTATTTTTGTGGTGCAGAGCGTGGTCACCTCATGGCTGCTGCTGTGTTGCAATATTTTCGGGGAGGCCTTATTATCCAGGTGGTCTTATTTTCGGGGAAACAGGGAAGGTCTAAGTGATATTGCTATCATCCTTAACCACCTCTTGTTACGCAATAGGGAAAGGCTTAATTTCCCCAATGTTTTCTGCAAAGGAGAACGAATTGTGTGAATCCGAAGCTTGCCCCCTGCAGGCATGACACGCGCCGATCCAATAAAACAACACACTTGTTATTTCCACTGTGCGATACACAGATTCTTGCTTGTTTTATTTATATGGCCCCTCTCTGACCTCCTAGTTTTCCAGAGGTAGGGCAGGCTTGTTCTAACGGAGGTTAAACAATGAGGGGGGAGAGGTTTCTACGGTTAGAAAGAAGAAATGCGAGGACAGCAGGTCAGGCTCGTCCCTGCGTATATTCACGTTACAATACCCCGAAACTTAGTGCTTAAATTAGAGATGAGAAGGAGACTGCACAATTCCCTGTAAACTGCACAGTGGCATTGCAATGAAGGACGCACTTATGTGACAACTGGAAGGTCAGTTCCTTTAGCAGCAGGTGTCCTGAGATGGCATGGCTATTCTCAGGAGATGGAGCTCAAAGGGCCACAGATCTGGTTTCATCGTCAAGTATCTGAATAATCGACTTTTCCAACCATATCCCTGGAGTTTGTGCCAGACGAATGAAGGACAACCACGTATGGTCTACTCCTCCACCGATGGCGCTAAAAGGAACATCTAAGCTATTGGCCTGCAGGCAAGGAACATCCTTCCCAGGTTTGATCAGTTCTTCAACTCACTGAGTTTCAGGTTGGCAAATTCGGTGGCCACCTGCAGGGCTTCCTCCAGGCAATCGGTGTTTTTGCCCGTCGCCTGGGCCGAGAGGTCTTTGCCTCCTCCCTTGCCGTCCATCAGCACCGAGACTTGCTGCACCCACTCGCTGGCCTTCAGCCCTTTGCCGGCAACTTCCTGAAACCGATAGAAGGGGAGATTTGTAGCTTGGGATTGAACCGTGAGGTTCCCTTGGTGCCCTCTGAGCCTGGTGGTTTTCTTGCAGATGCTTCATTATGAAATATACTACCCAGGGGTGGGATTCAGAAATTTTAGCAACTGGTTCTTTGCCTCCTCAAGCCTCCAGGAGAGCGAAAACAGCCTCCCCCGGGCTTCGGAGACTGGAAATGTGTGTGTTTCTGGATTTCCAGGAGGCCGTTTTTTTGCACCTTCCAGAGCCTCCACGCGGGCCCTGCAGTTACATGGCATCCAAAACAGGCCGCGTGGAGATTTCTGGAAGGGGAGGGGCCAGCCAGTTCTTACAACTACCAGTTCGGCAAACAAGATGTAAAATTAACATCCGGTTCGCCCGAACCGGTCCAAACCCACTGAATCCCACCCGATGTTACCTAGTTTGGGAATGAAATGCCTGCAAGAAAACAACCAAGCTCAGAGAGCCCCAAGAACGCCACAGCTTCCCGAAAGACAAAACACTTGCAAATCTGCAGTTAAACAAACCATGATAAGGTTGGATGCAATTCCCAGCATCCTCCATCAATGCTGAGGCTCTTGGGAGTTACGGCTTATGTCGTATGTGGGGAAATCTGATAGGCTTGTTATTGTTGCTCTAGATCAGGGGTGTCAAACTCAATTTCATTGAGGGCTACATCAGGGCTGTGGCTGACCTCGTGAGGGGTGGGGTGAGCGGCTGGTTGGGTGTGGCCAGTTTGACCCCACTCCCCAAACTGCTGTTTCCTCTTCGCAATGGGTAGACCAGGTTGAAGCGATGTGGGTTGACCAAGATGGCCAGATCCGACCATATACTTCTTCAAAAACTTAGAAATGTCACCTTTGGTTAAGTTTCCACCAATTTTTCTTCTAATGTCTTTACAAATGTAGCCTTGTTCACTTAATAATACTATTTTACATCGCTTTCTGGGGGACCAGTCAACTCTTTGCACCGTTATTTTAATTTTATTACGTTTTACAAGCTCACTAAATGAAAGAACAAACACACACAAAAACCCGAACCAACTTGATAGCGATCACATAACACACAAATGTCCTCATCTCAGCTTCAATACATGACATCAATAACTGAATCCTACTGTGATCCAACCACATTGCGGGCTGGATCCAGCCCGCAGGTCTTGAGTTTGACACCCTGCTCTAGTTCTATAATATTAAAAAAGAAGAATGGAACTTCTGTTTCTTGAATTATCCGTATACTACCCAGACTCGGAGGTGCTCCCAATCTTACTTACCTGAGGAACTTGGCATAAGCAGGTAATTTTGCCTGCTTCGTTATCCACGCTGAAGAGCATCGCGGCTGTCTCAGGAGAATGTGTCTTCAAGAGCTTCAGGGACTCATTCAAGGCCTGTAGGGAAAGAACATGCCAAGAACTGGCACTTGAAGCTGGACCAGGAAAGAACTGTAAAACTGAAATACGTATAAGACGTATAAGAGTATAAGACACACCTTTTTCCCCTCAAAAAAGAGGCTGAAAGTCTGGATGTGTCTTATATACTGAATACAGCATTTTTGGCCTCCCAAAACCCCACCCAATCCACCAAAATGGCCGTGCAGAGCCTTTAGGAGGCTTGTAGAGTGTTCCTGTGGGGGTGGGGCCAAAAAAAAGCAAAAAATGTCTTATTTTTTGTCAAAAGAGGGGCATGCATATGTTTATAGAGCGCTCAGCGGGCCGGGGGGGGGCAAAATT